TTCTTTGTAGTAATGTTGTGGATTTAAAAGACAATTTTTGCCTGCTTCTGTTCAGATGTTCCACACCCCTGCTTTGCAGGCATGCTATCCAAGTCAGTTTATCTTCATCTCCCCTTTATTTGCAGTGTGTTGCGGCTATGGAGCAGAGATATGTGGAGTATGTTAATGTGTGGTGGGTGTTGGGGAAATTCAGATAAATCCTGATAGAAAAATGTTGCTTATATGTGCCTTTGAGTTATAAAATCAAACCTATCCCTGCACATCTTTGAAAGTACCAGAATTCCAAGCCAGGTTTCTATTTAGCATTGCTGTTACTTTGAGAGGTTGGAACTCTCAGCTCACCTGTGATGCTGCTGCATCTTTACAAAGGCATTTGCTGAAGGGGGGCTTCAAGGGAAGGTAATCCCTGTCTGGTTTTTTTATATTTATTTATTTATTTTTCAATTTATATCCTGCCTTTTTCCTACAAAGGGCTCAAGGCAGCTTACATCATTCTCTTCCTCCATCTTATCCTCACAACAACAACCCTGTGAGGTAGGTTGGGCTGAGAGTCTGTGACTGGCCCAAAGTCACCCAGTTGGCTCCATGGCTGAGCGGGGACTAGAACCCAGGTCGTCTGAGTCCCAGTCCCATGCTCTTAACCACTACCCCACTGGCTCTCCACACTGTTTTTTGCTAACAGCAGCAACAGCTGATAAGGCTGCCAGGGTAGTTTTCTAGCAGCATAGCAATCACCCAAATTTGCATGTTCAGACTCACAGCTAACACTCACAATAATCCCTGCTTTCCAGAATTGTAATGTCAATCTCCTGTAATCAATGCTATTGCATTAAGTCCCCTCTGCAGATCTCTCACATTCTTTTGACTGTGTTCCTCTTATTTCATCATCATCTGCCCTGCTGCTGTATACATGTGACCCAGAACCTATAAAACATTCTGTATATATTCTAAAAGCTTGTAGCTGGTCACAACCTCTACCCAGCAGCACTGTTGTAAATTGGGTTTCTCTGCAGAGGGTGCCTGAGTGCTCTTCCATAAACTACTGAGTTTCAAGGTGCAAGGGGTCTTTCCTACTGAATCATTTATTCATTCCCTGGGCTGCTATCATGGGGAAACAGAGCCAAATTCACACATGCAATTGCGATTCTATGAAGTAACTTCCTCTGTTTGTCTCTGTGTGAAATGAGCTTTTGCTCTTCACCCCATTTTTAATCTTGAACAAATTGTTTGTTTTGTGTTTGTTAGCATTCACTAAGCCAGATTCACCAAGCTGGATCTGCTTACTGCAAGTATTTCACTGTGTCTAATATTATCTTGCACCCCAACAGTCCCAATGAGTATCTGTTGCCACTGATTTACTGTGTCTGGAAAATAGATTCTGGTATTTGGAACTACAAAAACAAACAAACACTGCTCAGATTGCTTTTGTTATGAATTAGTAACAAGCAAAATGATAAAAACTTGAAATCAAAGTAGTTCTATAATGAAAAATTGATTTCCCCCTTAAACTTGTAAAAATTATTCAGGGAAGGATCACATTCACAGGTTTTATAGAACAATCCAGATGAGAAAAATATATATATTGAACTGTAAACATGCAGAGGATTTGTTTCTTTGCTTGGCCATTCTACTTAACTCCCATCTTCCTGCATTACAGTTGGTCAAAACCAAGAAATGAATACACCATCCTTCACTAACCCCAGAGTGTACATGGCATCACCATACATTTTTTTACACCAAAGTATGCAGAAAAAAATGGGAAAGTATGGAAGAAGAGAATTGCAATACCTACATATATATTTTATTTTGCATTCTGTATTCTTTGTTCTGTATCTACATTTGGGAAGGCAATGTGCTTGCTATATAACAGTGTAGTCCTTGTGATTTTTTGTCCATCCCTTGTTTCAGGGATTCCATTCCTAATTCTATTGTTGTTCTTCCTATTTAACGAGAAAATGGGTGATATTTAGGGACTCCTGATTTCCCATTTGGAGGACCCATTCCATTAAGTTGAAATTATGACATAGCATTGGCAGTAAGCAGCAGAAGTTGCTGTTTGTCCCAAAGAGTCAATGTGAAAGTGAAAAGAACTAATTTGTAGAGGGCAAAGATTAGGGAAAGATTGTATTTCTTTCAATCAGGGATGGAGAACCTGTAATCCTCCAGATATTAACAACATCTGGAGGGCCACAGTTGCTCTCGTCCCTGCTTTCAGTTATAATTTTAATAGATATTTTGCAGCCTGATACATAATACAAGAACACGAACCAGAACTTAATGCAAACCTAAAGATCATTTTCATTAAGGTAAATAAGAAGAGGAACTTTAAATTTGTTGAAGAAGGGAAATGTGCATTGGGGGAAAAATACAGTGGTACCTTGGCTCACGAACGTAATCCGCTCCAGGACTCTGGTCATGACCCAAATTGGTTGTGAGCCAAGTTAAATTTCCCCATAAGGTTCAATGTAAATAAAGTTAATCCATTCTGTAACCACTTTTTAGATCAGAAAAATGTGAAGCAAAGTGACAAAGAACAGCAAAGATTATGGCCATCTTCCCCCCACCCCGAGCACAAGTGCGGCCATCTCCCCGCCCCTCCCAGCACAACTGCAATCGCACCCGTCATCTCTACACATGCCTGTCATCCCGGCGCGCTCGGAGGGGGAGACAGGCGCGATCGCAGTTGCGCTCCTGCAGGAAAGACGGGCGCAATCTTGGCCATCTTCCCCCCCCCCCCACATCCCCAGCACAATTGCGGCCATCTCCCCACTGGGGCGGGGAGGTGGGCGCAATCACGGTCACCACCCAATGTGGAGTTCACGACCTGAAAAAAAAATTTTGCGATCCGATTTGGTCATGAACTGAGGCGTTTGTGAGCCAAGGTACCACTGTATGCACCTTATTTTTAAAGAGCCCCCCCACACACACACTTGTCAATACACTTCCAAATTTCACTGGCAAATCACCACTTGTGCTAGTGACATTGTGTAACCATTGTTTCATGTTAACACAGTGCCAATAGTACTAGCACTTGGGCACTGGAGGATACCACCCAAGGGCCTGCAGAGAAAGGGTGAATCAACAAATATTGCTTCTCCCCTGTTCAGTCAGTGGAATATTCCTGCTGGATAAAAAGCTTCCCAAGGACAGAAGGAATCCTGCTTTCCAAGGAAGGTTTTGCTGGACCCAACCTAATTATATACTGAGAAGTAGCTTGCTAGACCTTAGCATAAAAATAGAAGTCCACAAGTGCACCATTTAACATAACTTCATAGATACTGACTGCCATTCTGAAAAATGAACTCCTAATATTTCTCCTTAAGACTTTTCTTTCCTTGCCTAGACACACATTTTAATCAAAATCTTACTGATTTTATCTGCAAAGAAACCAGAAATTTTCTCACAGCAGGAGGGACTTGCATCAGCAGCCAAGTGAAGGCAGTCTGCATTAACAAGACTACCTGCCACCTGGAACAAATCCACTGATTGAGGCTTCACAGATAACACATGGGAAGCAAAGGGATATTTCTTCTCCTTTTTTTAAAAAAAGTGTACATTCATTCATGGCAAAACATAATTCAGATAACTTGACTTAGTAACATCTTCTAACTGGATTAGTCTCTCTTCCATCCACTATCACCATTTGTTTTCTGACCATTCTGGTCATGGAAAACCAGGGAGTAAACTGCAGTAAGGCCACTCCAAAAACAAATTCTCACACAGTATGTCCTGGGAACATTCATTTTTTCTATATATTTGTGTGTATGAACAGGTACTTTGAACTGACTTTAACACCATCCTCTCCTCAGCAATAGAAGTTGCACTGTGTACACTACCACTTCAGTGGACAGAAAATTGCTGAGAAGTAGGAACAACTATCCCTTATTTATTTGCCTTATTTGCACACGCTCCTGCTATTTGTCTTATTTGTACACACTCCTGCTTTTGAAAAGGGCATTCTAGCTACCAGGAAGCTAACAGTGATTACATACAGTTTTCCCAAATTATTTACATTGTGGCTTTCAAGGAGCCCTGAGAAAAAGAAATGAATTACTCTTGGCTCTTCTGTCAGTAATACTGAAGAGTGTTTAGCAATTGTTTCAGTGGTAAATCATTAAAAAGTGAATTGAAAATAGGGTGGACAATTCTATTCCAAGTAGAACTCTTTGGATTTAGGATTCTGCAGGTCCTCAACAGCTCTCCTCTCCTATATTGTGTTCAGCCATTTGGCAAGTTAGGTCTCTTGATAGCCCACATACTTAGGTCACTCATGCTCCCATTGAATGCTACTTAGCCCAAACTGTAAAACTGTTTTAAGAAAGGTGAAAATAACAAAAAATAGGAAGAAAAATAATAAACAGAGCAATCTAGAAGTCACCAAGGGAGCACTCCACTGTCAGAACACTCCAAAAATCCTTCCTTTTGCCACTAGACATGAGAACAGGAGGAGTGATGGAGGTGATGTTTGTCTCTCTTCCTTTTCTTCAGAGATTTCGCCAAGCATGCTTTTGAATGGCCAGAGAAAAGGCACCAGGGGACTTGCAGGGTTGGAAACTGGGAAGCTTTGGGGTTTTACAGATCCTTGGTATCTCCCTTCTATGTTATGTTCAACCACTTGACAATTTGGTTTTAGGCACACATCTAATCATGTTTCTCCTCTGCTTCTCCCCCTTCTAATTTAGGATCTGCTAAGCTCTGACTTTCTCTGCCATATAAAAACAAACCTAAGGTGTCTATTAAAGGTTTAGTTAAACTGCATCTTTGAAAGCTTTAGTCTTTCTGTTAACAGTTAACTCTTTATTCATTAAGTGCAAGCACAGTGCGAATAATAAACCTGCATTTCAGAAGAATAACAGAGAAAATTATAAATACAGTCTCATCACTTCCATCTGTGTTTCCAATCTAAGCAATAAAGAAGCCCTTTTCCCTTTCAAATTCTCCTTTGTTACTTGCCTAAGATTCGTTTTAGATTAATCTTTTATTTTGCTTTATTTCTAAAGGACATCCATTACTTTGCACTAGATAAGGGTGAATTGGCACTAGCTGAAGTGGCAAAGAAAAAAGCTAGCGACATTGACACAGAATCAATAACTACTGGAGTTGGTAAGAATTAATGCTGTTTTTAAAAATGGCTTTTTTGTTTTAATCAATACTTGTTCTTGTATCCCTGTCATGTTACGCTTGTAGCAGGGTTATTGGTTAATTGGAATTGTTTTTTGGGTGGGAGAACAATGATGGCATGTTTGCTTAAGAGAAAAGGTAAGCATACAAAAACAGCCTTTAAATATAAAAGTGAGAATGATGGTATTGTAGAAGTGTCAAAATAAGCTAGAATCCCTTGCAACGCAAGAGGTAGAGGAAGGATAAATAAATTCTTTGCACATTGCAAAAAAAAAATTAAATCAAAAGCTAGATTCTGAAATAATACTGTTGCTATACATTTTTCTTAAGAGACATATTTTAAGAGAACCCTCAGGCTATGGGGTTGCATACAAATGTAATAAATAAATAATTTTTTGGCGGTCATTGACACTCTGAACACATTTTCACAAAGAGCACAGTTCACTGAACCAATCTGATTCACTGAGGACTAATTTGCAAATCATCTGGTCCTAACATACTTGTATTGGTCAATGGGTCATCAGTTCCTGAATATATGGACTGGACAGATGTATGTATGTATGTATGCCACATTTATGATTTCTGCATATATATATTTTACAGAGAAATGCATGCAAATATATTTTACACTCGCATATTTATCAAGATGAAAAATTTAAAGAGAGTTTTGACCATAAGCAATGCACATTTAGTTTTCTTCCAATTCCTTTTGTTCCTGTTTTGAAAATTGGTAGTGTGAATGTTATAGAAAGCTATGGTAGAGAAAATTCAAAGTTGATTTTTTCCCATTGCTATGATTCACACACATGGTTAATGTACCTGTGCAGTGCATTATTCAAAATATTCCAGAACTAAGTAGAGCTTTCTGGAGAGAGCCTGCCCACCCCCTCACCCCCCGACACACTCTAGCTATGGTTCCTGCTTGCTTCTCAGTTCCTTCCTTTCCATTGCAGTGAAAGTAGTACTTTAGAACGTTCTCTGCCTCATAGGAAAAAAATGTTATTCAGTTTTCTTCCCCTTTTCCTTCTTGCCCACTGTGAGCAGAAAGAGCTTGCTCTCTTCCTCTGTCTTCTTTGAGTTATTCCCCCCCTCCTTTCCTTCACCCTTCAGACACACATGGCATCCAGGACCTTCTCCGAAAGTGCTCCTTCTGTAGCAGGAAGATCCTGTCATTGGACAGACATTCAGAATGCCTTCAATGCTTCATAGATACCACTCTCCACAGATATCTCTTCACAGGTATCTCTCACCTCATTACCAACATACTTTTCCAGCATCATCAGCTTCTCAATAGTTTTCCCATGACACTGATCTGCTATCTTTAGGGATGCTTATCCACATTACCCACACTAATGTTATTACAGTTCTTTTTATGACAACTCCCTTCCTAGGAGATACTACTATGAGGATGTAGACTGCCAAATCTACTATCAGTGCTAAGAATCCTCTCCTCTCTACCACTCACAAGGCCTTCTCAGCCACACTTGATTTCTAAACCTCTGAAGACAGCTCTTTTTACAGAGCCTGGTCCAGTAAAACTAATTAGCTGTTGGAAGTTAGAAAAATGGCTACTTTGGCCACTCACTCTCAAGGACTCCTGGCTGGACTTCAGAGGAATCAGAATTTGAAGGAGAACTCGGGGGGAGACTGCAAATGTGGGCCATGCTGGGACACTGAGATGAGAAAAACAGAGATGCTTATCTCAAGGCCAGAAAACCCAGGGGAGCAGGCAGTTTCTGGGAGTAACCAAAATGTACAGCTAGCAGGAGGAGACTTGGAGCAGGGAAGTTTCTCAGACACAGATCTAGAGGCCCTGGCTTTTGACCCAATGAGACAGCATCAACAGAAGAAGGTGGCCCAAATTAAAGGATCAGCATGTGGAGGTGAGGCATGCTCACTTTCAGAAGCCCCTCCCCAAAGGGATGGGGCCCAGGCATGATCATAAGGATAGTTCCTGGAAGTGAACACTAGATTGAGTTCAGCCAACCACTCTGTGCATGCTTAGAGATTAATTCTGGGTGCTTTGTACTTTTTGACCAGTAAAGAAAACTTTGCAAGGGAAAAGGTCTCTAGATTTTGAATTCATGAAGGAAGAATCTTGGCTCTCAACACTAGCCTGCCTCTCCACCTTCAACCACCTTTTCTGAACAACTTTTTCCTCAACCTTGTCCCTAAACAAACTACCAGATTCAGCCTCTTATGCAGTTTCCACCAGTCATTCATCTGACACAGACTTCCCAGCCTTCCAATAACCAGACACTGATCATAACCCATTAACAGCATAAGAGGGGTACTGCTTGGATCCATCCTCTTTCTCTGTTGCACCATTAGCATCTTCCTTACAGGCCACTGAGGGGGAACCAAAGCCCTTTATCCTCCACAGATAATCCATATGCAGAACAGATTCTAGGGACCTGACCCCCAGTGGGAGGGCGGGAATCAAGCTGCCTCTGGCCCCCATCTCTGACCTTGGTTTTTAACAGGGCATAAGTTGACATGGCACAGCCAGTCTCAATCTCAATGTTATCACTACTGACCCATGCAATTAAGCAGTTTTGCAGAGTTCTCCTCTGGGCCACCAACTGTTCGGAAGATCAAGATTTATAGGTCCCTTCCTATTCAGACATGTGGCATATTCAATTACTGTAGAAACTTCATTGTTCAGACTGAAGCACAAATCTTATTCCTTCCCCGCAAACATAGATGGTAGGAAGCTCAGCAACATCAACTATCTACCCTAGAGCTACTGAATCTTTACTTGTCTGCGTGTCATGTAAGCCTACATTATCAGCATATCAAGAATTCTGAATTCCTGTGTGATAAGGTGGTTCTTATTCGTGGCCTCTGTGCATCACACATAATGGGTGCTGCGCCTGCGCAGTGCCTGTAGCTGGGTAGCATACAAAAGCTTTGACGGATTTTGGCAGGAACTCTGCACCCCTCTCCCATGGTGCTATAAAGGGCGGAGCGCCCGCCATTTTCCCCAGACTTCTTTCAACCTCCGGTCGCTTTGCCATTCGTTATCTTCTATTACATCCTCTTGCTCTTTGTTCTAATCGCTGTTTTTCTCTTGCTCTTCTAGTTAAGAAAATCCTTTTCCAAGTTTTATCATCCTTACCCTTCCTAGTTAGACAATTTTTTTCTCCCTCCCCCCAAAAAAAGTTTATACATCTTACCTTTTGCTATCTTTTCACTTCACTCAATTTTTTCGCTATCTGCTCTTCTCGATGGCTCAGCGCATGGCCTTTCGAAAGTGCTCTAGGGGCCAAAATGTCTCCGATTGACCCACACAAGCTTTGCCTCTTATGCTTGGGAGGACATCGCACCAACAAATGCAGCCATTGTCAGTCGTTCACCAAGCAAGCCCGAAAAAAATCAGGAGAATCGGCTGAGGAAGATCCTTTGGGAACAGGCCCTCATAGCCTCAGACGAGCTGGCCACTCCAGCGGGCCCGCCCATGGTGACTTCCCCTCACCCACCATCCGAGGGAGCTGCTTCCAGGGAGACCACTCGCTCCTCCCATTCCACTTCTCTGAAACAAAAGGAGAAACGGAAGCACAGCAGGCAAGGGGATCTGTTGGTCCTGAAAAAATCTAAGAAAGACAAGACCAACAAGGCTGGCCGCAAACAACATAGGCTTGCCCAGGAACCGTGCCGGGACTCGGGCTCGACTGCACCATCGGTCCCGACAGCCGCATCAGTATCGACACCCTTGGTACTGACACCACAGACTGTGATGCAGGTTATGCTGCCTGGATCCCCCCAGAGGGTCACGCTACCAGCTCCTACGGTGTTGGACCCCTCTGAGCCCATGCTCCATGGATCAATACCCGACGGAGAAATTCGGGATTCACCACCCCGGTCTCTACCGAGCCACCAACCGGCTTGATCGCCGACCCTGATGCCATCATCGCCAGAGGCATCCCCAGGCCCCCGCTGCCATCCGACCCACATCACCACCAACACACCTTGGGCGAATCCACCAGGAGCTGGGTTCTGATGCCGTATGGCAGATTCGAGCCACCTCGGCCCTATCACTGGGACTACCAGCCACTGTACGACTACTACCCTGTGCCGCCAGAGCGCAGACGCTGATTCTGTCCCTCCAGGATGGAAGCACCCTCCACCTCGGCGGCCGTAACTTCCCGCCCTCCTCCGTCTCTGGTCAACTCATCATCTAGTCCATCTTATCATTACATTTCAGACTCTGAGGACTCAGACCAGCTCTCCACATCTCCAGATGCCGTCATCTCCACTCAGGGACCGTCTCACACGGTCATTGGAGATTGAGGTGGAACACCAGGCAAGCACCAGCGATGACCATTTCTACAACATCGTTCATAAGGAACAGTCATCCGCCATCTCCTTCCTGCTCATAATGACTCTTCGCCAGGCTATGACAGACACCTGGGAGTTTCCAAGCCAGCCACATCTGACATCCCACAGATACGAATTGATGTACAAGGTTAGGGAGCAGGACATCCCATTCCTAACTTAATTGTGGTCGACTCATCCCAGGAGTGAGATTACAGGGAACAATCGACCCCGAGAGACAAAGAGGGCTGGACGATAGATATGATGGCACGCCGCATCTACGCGGCTATGGGACTAGGTCTCTGGATATCAAACTATGAGGCAACGATGGCCAGGTATGAGTACTTTCTGATACAACGGCTGGAATCCATCACCTCCACTATTCCAGAGCAGCAGCGCGACCTGACCCACGTTTTTATCCGGGAGGCCATGCAACTAGCCATCCAACAGCTCAGCACAGCACGCCATCACGTCGATTGCAACTCTCGTGCTCTTGTCAGATCCATCGTCTTATGTCAGCATGCATGGCTACGTTCCTGCAACTTCCCAGACGAGAATAAGAGGCGCATTGAGGGCATGCCTTTCGACAGTTCTGGCCTCTTCCATGACTGCATGGACCGTAAGCTCGAGCACATTTACAACACTTGAGCCACCGCCCGGAAGATGGA